GTTTGGGGTCCACGCTGGCTAAAATCTATGCCATGTGTTTCTCCCATAAATGCTGCGTTACTTTCGTGTGTGTGTGTGTATGTGAGTGCGTTTGTGTGTGTGTGTGAGTGTGGCAGCCCAGCCCCCCCCCCCCCCCCGAACGCCGACACTGCCCCCCACTCTGCCCGCGTGGCTCCCCTTAACGCGCCGCCGACGAGCCCCCAGAGCGGGCCGGCGCTGCAGGCAGGGCAGTCCGACGGAGGCGCGCCTGCCGAAGACGATGAGGAGCCCGTGCGCAAGACCCCCCGCACCTCCGAGCACCACAGCCTGATAGCTTCTGGGAGTGGCAGCGGGAGCGATGCTTGGGGGAACGACCCCCCCTGACGCCAGGCTGGACCCCCTCACAGTACTGCCATCCTGCCCCGCGGCTATACCCCCGTTGGGATCGCGACGACCGGCTGTACTACAAACCGCGCCAGTCCATCTTCTGGCATCCCGACTGGAACTACCACACCCAGCGACAGGAGAACTGGCATGAAGTGGTCAAACGCCGCAAGAAGGAATGTGGCCCCATGTTGGCCATTGGCTGGAACGCCATATGCGACCGCCACCAAGGGCAGACAGGGTCCACCAGGGACCCCAGCCGGCTGCCAGTCGAGTTCTGCCAGGAGTTTGTCACCCAGCTCATCCAGGCCGACTTCGACATCCGCACTCTCTGCGGGAACAAGCATATCCACGTCGATTGGCAGGCCTCGTGGAAGCAGGAGATGGAAAAGAGGCAGCTGGCCAGCCAGGGTCGGAAAGGCAATCGGAAAGGCCCACCACCCCATGGCAAGGGTAGTAGGCCTGCCGACCCCACCTGGCCCAGCAACGACTTTGCCAGGCAGCGGTGCCCGGGCTCCTCCAGTCGCCACTGGTAGGCGGCCGCAAGCAACCAGACCATCACCGCCCTGCGCAGTGGGTTCGCCCTCGGGCCTCCCGCTAACCCCCATCCGACTGACCTCAGCAGTTTCCAAGCTCAGTGCACCGCTTCGGTGCGGCCTCGTGCCCACCCCCCGCAGCAGCCGCCCCGTCTGCCTGCTCCCCCCCGCGCGGCCACTTGCCACGCTTCCCGTCAACCTCGGGTGCACCTGTTCGGTGCTACCCCCGCCCTCCCCCGTGGCCAGGCCTTGTCGGCCGCGCCCAGCGCACCTTGCGGCGCAACCCGCCTCCGCCCACCGGCGCAGTCTCCCGGCGTGAGGCTTCGCTCGCTGGCCCTGGGGCCGCACCGCCTCGGCACTGCGCCCCGCGGCGGTCGTCTCGGCTGCCCCCATCGGTCGAGCAACACGCGCCGCCCGCCTCTCTTGGGCCGTCACTCTTTGCTCCGCACGCCGTGGGCCAACTCTGGTCCCCGCCTTTGGGTTGCCGTGGCGCCTGCCTTCAGCGAGCCGGTTTTGCCGCTGGCCCCCGGCGCCCTCTGCGTCGCCCTGGCCGCGTGGCTGCCGCCCCAACCACACCCTGCCCCGCTTTCCTCTGCGAGGAGGCCCTGCCCCCACCGCTGCATCCCCTGCCCGCCGCAGGTTGGATCGCCGGCCTTCTGCAGGTCTTGGCCCGGGTCTTGGCCCGTTGCCTCCTCCCCCGTCTGCCCCACTCCCCGGCGGTGCTTCCCGGCTCCCACCGCTTGCCTGGTCCTCCGATCGGGCCCTCGCCCGGGGCCTCTGGGATGCCTCGTCGGCCATCGGCGGCCACGGCTCCCGCCGCCCCTCGCGTCGTTCGCAGGCCAGCTCATCCGGCGTGCCCGCCCCACCGGCGTTGCCGGTCTGCGGCTTCCACTCTTGCTGCCTGCATGCACTTCTCCCTGTGCTCCCTCCGCCCCCCTCTCGGGGGCTGCCTCGGCCCGGCCCTCCCCGGGTTGTCTCGCAAGTCCGCCGACCTCGGCGCCTTGGCCGGCCCTTGCCTCCCCCGCGCCTCCCTGCTGGGTCTCCTCCCCCCGTACCCCTGGCCCCTCCCCTGAGGCGGTCCCTCTGGCGGCTGCCGACCGCGCCTGGGATCTCGACACCTCGGCCGCCCAGCTGCGCTGCCCGTCTCCACCTCGCGCTGGACCTGCCGCCCCCCCCGCTCGGCTTCTGCCCGGCCGCCCGCCGCCGGCCGCCCCCCCCCGGCGTGCCGCCTCGCCGCCGCCGCTGGCCCCGCGCCCTGGCGACCCCCCCGCCGCGGCCTGGCCCCTGCTCTGAGCGGGCCCGGCTTCCTCGCCCTCCTGCCCGCGCCGGGCCTCCTCTTGTTCTCGCGTGCCCTGCGGCTCACTTCGCGTTTCGTGCGACCCACTAATGCCACAGCGCTGGAGAAGTCCCTCTGCCCAGTTGCCGACGCAAAGTGTGTGTGTGTGTGTGTGTGTGTTGTGTGTGTGTGTGTTGTGTTGTGTTGTGTTGTGTTGTGTTGTGTTGTGTTGTGTTGTGTTGTGTTGGGTTGTGTTGTGCTGTGTTGGGTTGTGTTGTGTTGTGTTGTGTTGTGTTGTGTTGTGTTGTGTTGGGTTGTGGTGTGTTGTGTTGTGTTGTGTTGTGTTGTGTTGTGTTGTGTTGTGTTGTGTTGTGCGTGCGTGCGCGTGTGTGTGTGTGTGTGTATGTGTGTGTGTGTGTGTGTGTGTGGGTGGGGGGGCAACGTGTTGCTTCTTAGCTGTTTGATATGTTGTTGATCGATCTCCTCCTCCTCGTCGCCCTCCTCATCCTCCTCTCCTCGTTTCCGGCTCTCCTCAGGACGCTGTAGGAGGAAAACGGGCGGGGGGGAGAAAATAATGAGGGAATCTGAACGAAAGAAGAGGAGGACGGCTGTACATTCTCATCTCTCCCCTTATCATCCATTCCACTGCCTCGATTTCGACATTTTGCTGCTGATGTTCCTGTTGTTGCTGCTGCTCATCATCCCGTCCTCATCCCCTCCTCCTCCTCCTCCTCCTCCTCCTCCTCCTCCTCCTCCTCCTCCTCCTCTTCCTCCTCTCGTCCTATATTCCTCATCTTCGTCCTCCTGCGCCTCCTTCTCCTCGCCCCACTCCTCTTCCACCTGCTCCCCTTCCTCGCGTTACCAGCGCAACGGCTGTGTACATTCGCTTCTACCTCAGGGAAAGGCGCTACACTGAAAAAGTAGTATACGTGCGGGAGAACTGCGTACGCGTCAGCGCACGACGAACTGCTCTTATGTTGCTCTGCGAACGCGCGCGCACTCTCACGATTTCCTTTTTGTTTCCCCACCTGAGCTCGGTCAATCTGCAGTCCACGGACGGGATAACCTTGAGGGGACCCGAGCGAGGTACCCTCTGGTGGTGGAGCGCGGTCGACGTGGCTGATTCACTGCCCCGAGCCTGAAGTCGATTACCACCCCGCATACCTTCTACTTGAACTCGAAGACCCAAGATTCATCATCGCAACAACCTCCGAACTACATCCAATGACTAGAACGATACTTTGCGTCCTCATCTGCGACTGCCCATCGTTGTCACGCATGTTGTACATACATCCATTCCTCCATTAGTAATCGCAAGCCGTCCACCAGGTCGGGACAATGATACGAAACTGGCAGACATGTGTGCTTGTCGTAAAGCCTTTATCAACGACGCTGGCAAGCCGTCACACCCCAAAGAACCGTCCCCACGAATAATCCACCATCCATCATTTGGGCCAACCGCTGCTACCGAAGGGCTGCTTCTAGGCTCCTTGATCGCGTTCTTATTCTACTTATTCTTATTCGTATCATTCATGGACGTCTTTGCTGCAGTGTCGGAACAGCTGAAATTCGCCATCCTGCCAACTTCGAAACTTACGAAATATCGCCGCTTCTGAGCCTGGAGCGGCAACATTGGGTTTAGCCCTGGGGCTTCTATTACCGATTCAATTTGTCACGTCGGCTGGCATCCCACGGCTTCGCCAACTTCCATGCTTCTAGCGCGTGAAATGCCCATGTCCATCAACGGCCAATGCTATATAAGTTGCGTCTTTGGACCATGCATATAATGACGATTGCGCATTCGGTTTACGTGCGGGGCGTGCCCATACTTGTGGCCCCGAAGCGCGAGCGGATTGCCTCTGCCACGCCGCGACGTAGAAAGTATCCAGACTTGTCGGCCCCAGATCTGTATGGATTTCCATCGTGTCTTTTTGCTGGTGAAAAGAGCCTTGCTGGTATAGGGCAGTCAGTGACATGCATTAATCGTGCGTGCATTGCCACTCTTTTCCAATTGTCTGTGAAACCAGAATCTACTGTTGCCCTTTCCGGCGAACTACAACCCATTGATTCGTTTCACGGTCAATGTCGGAATGCCGACTGGTGTACTCCTTTCGTCGTGCAGTTCCCCATCGGTATGATGCAACGATCGGTTGCATGAAAAACGTTCCTTGATGGAATCGTACGTAAACCTGAGATTCGATGGCTTGATGTTCGTGGGGCTTGAGCCACTGTGGCGTTGAACAAGACCTGCCGCTCAACGACACGGGCCCACAAAACGTGATCTAACTTGGCTACGGCTCGCAGATTGCAAGCACCTGGTGCATCGGTTCTGTCCCTCGTCGACCTCAGAAGCGCCCAAGTCGTCTGCGTCATTAGCGGTCAGGATGTCGCAGCCAATCTCCAACACTTTTCGATGTGGTTACGCGGAGACCCTGCAAAAACCCTTCCGATTCCAGTCGCTCCTTGAACGTCTCGCGTCAGTGATACGCTCCAGGGACCTCCAGACGTCTCCGGATATCTCGGCGGTCCCTGGGAGCCTTCAGACCCGAGGAACGCAGCAGGAGGAGGACGCTGCTACCCCTTCGTCGACATGCCATCCGACGGCTTCTTCCCGCCGCGCGTGCCGGTCAACGTTGGCCCCCTGAGGGGCCCACGGCTACCACTGGTCCAAGATACGGGAGCACGCAACGCCTGTCGTGCGGCAGCCGCGCCAGGAGGGCGGGGACGGGCGGTCACCTCGTCCTCGTGATATCAAGAGGTCTTCGCGCCGGCCCCAGCCCACGGGCCTCGCATGGAGCGCAGCATGAAGACGTAATCCGCCGCCGTCATGTCTGCGGCCTTCGTTCCGAAAGCAATGCCCGTCTCGTGGCCGGCCTCTTTTCTGTCTCCACTGACGTGCACGAGTTGGGGGAACGGAAGGGTACACCGATACTGCTGCCCTGTGGACCTCTCCCGGGGTGCGTTCTGACCAGAACTTCGAAGCGAATCCAGCGGTGGCGACAAGGGCTCCCAGGAGGCCCCAAAAAGGGAAAACGAAGCGAAGTGGGTACCTTTTCCTCCTCTGACGGGTGGCAAACCTCTCCTGGGGCTGCACTGACCCAACGCAGACAAAATACAGCCAGCAAGGGAATTTCTGGTTCTTCCGGGGTGGCGACCACACGTGCCCCTAGTCGCCAAACAACACGTGCAGATCGTCTAGCAAGAAAAAACGGAACAAACATGAACTGTTGGAGGTTTGCGCGGATTTCTTGGACCCGCGCTGGGCCCCCCTCCCAGGCGCGCGGAGCGCGCCAGGAGCGGCGCCAGAGGCGCCGCCAGGGGGGGAGGCGAGCGCCGATCCGAGAAATCAGCGCGGAACGCCGAAAATTGATGTTTATGCAATTGGTTCCTCTTCGACCCAGGGCCCCACACTGGAGATTCCCACGCAGCAGGTCCCCACAGGGTCGGATCCCATGCGATGGGGTCCCACACGATAGGGTCCCTCACAGTATGGCTCCTGACAGTGGGTTCCAATAGATCGCCGTCCAGATCACGGTTAGACCAATGACATAGTAACATACAGAAGACCCTCCGCCGGCCCAAGCTGAAGAACATCCGAGGGTGCCCCCCTCCAGGATGCACAAGAACATCCAACCAACACAAAGAATACTAGGGTACCCTCCGCGAACCGACCTCGGTCGTATACCTCGGTCCGACAGTATTGTGCATCATACACACCATCGTGCACCCACCATAAGCTGTACAGAGTCAGTGCTGGGGTCCCCGATGGCATCAAGTTAGTGCAGCAATATTTCTTAATGTGTGAACTTCCTTCAGGGGTCTGGATTTGCCCTAGGTTGGCTCAGCAGGCTGCCTGGTGCCGCGCACCACACAGTGAAGGTGGAGATGTCGACCTGGAGCGTTCAAACACAAAGGCTGCGGAAGATGGAAAGAAACCAACACAAGAGCACACAACGGGCTGTTCAAGCAAGAAGCTAATCGGCCAGCAGGTGCCCTAATCTCGAGACGATCTCATTCCCCAATGGCCCCCCGGGATCCGCTGGGAATGCAGAGGCACCTTGCGAAGCTTGAGGTCGACGAAAGATCTGACTGTACATTGGCAGATCTTTCCGATTTCGGGGTGTTGGTCTGTCCAATGTCGCCTCAGCGGGCTCGTCCGCGCCACGCGCTGCACAGCGAAGATGGTGGATGAAGACCTGGACCGCCCAGGCACGAACTCCGCGGTAGAGGAGAGGGCGCCCGACCAGGACGGCCTTTCCCCGTCCTGGGGCATACAGCGGCCACGTCGAACGACAACCATGCTTGCCAGCAAGTGCCTTGCGAGCACCTCTCGTTCTCAATGCACCAGAGACCCAAGGGAATCCTGGGGGCACTCTGGGAATCTTACTATCCACGTGAAACGTGCCCCTCAGCGCCAGGACAAGTGAATAGTTATCGCTCTAGACTCGACCTGAACGAATTAGAACTGCGCAGAACCAATCGAGATCGAATCGAGACGGGTTCTCCCACCAGAGAGGGAAGGGGAGACGGGGAGAAGATGAGGATACGTATAATGGGGAGACGACGGAGGAAGGAGGAGAGGAACGAGAGGGAGGCAGGATTCACGGGGCCCCTGACGTCCCCGGAGGTCCCCGGTTACCCAAGGCCTCCAGACGCCCCAGGCTGAGTCAAAACGTCCGAAGGCCACGATCCTGTTCTTCCTTCTCCTCCTCCTCTTCCTTCGTCTCCTCCTGTCGCTGTCGCTGTCGGCCTCGGAATTCGCTTCGAACGCGGCCACCCCTCCTCCTCTGGCTCCTGCTCCTGTTCCTGCTTCTCCTCCTCCTCCTCCTTCTTCTCCTCCTCCTCCTCCTCCTCACTCTCCGCCTCTTCCTGGTCCCATTCACCCGCTGCAAACCTAGCCACAGGAGCTCCCAAGAGCCCCGTACCCGCTTCAAGAACCTCTTCTTCGTCGCTGCTCGCTCCTCTCCCAAGACCTCAGACGTCCTTTTTGCCATTCATGACCGCGCTGCAGTGGGTGAGCGCGGCAAGGCGGCAACGAACAAAAGCTTGCTCCTCGTTTGCCAGTGCCATGACCGGCTTGGTGCACCCGTCGTCCGAGAAGAACTGGAGCGAACGCACCCTCCAGGCGATCTCTACCTCGGGGCACCAACTCTGGCCATCGCTCGGGCGTCCATTCCCTGTGTTTTTCTCGGTTTCGTCCGTCGTTTTTTCGCCAAATGATCAAGGATGATCCTCAAGGGTCCTCGCCGAGAAAAAATACACACGTCCGAGCGATGCCAGGCCAACTGAGGAACCATGGCTCACCGTAGGTGCTCACCGAGGGGATGCTTCTTGGCATGCGGGGGGGCGTGTGATTCAGCAGCGACGCGAGCAGCGTGCCCACAGAAACGAAGGGGCCCCAGCACACGCAAACAAATACACACAAACAAAATCATTCCCCATAGTTTCCCATATAGTTTCTGGGTGTTTGTCTTCCCCCCGCACTTCCCATATTTTCCTATATTTTCTGGGGAATGGACGATTCATTGTGTCTGCGTGTTTTTTCCCCTCCTGAAGAAACGCTTCCCACCAATCACTCACAACTGCTTCCGTGGTGCGGGCTGCGGGCCCAGCAGAATACGAAACGACCTCCCTCGCCGCTGCCGAGCGTGGCTTTTGCCGCCCGCTGGAGCCAAACGTCCACGCCGACGGAGAAAGCGCCGCGACGCACGACGCAGCATCTGGCCATCGCTCGCATCGTTTTTGTTTCGGTTTCGTGCGTGATTCTTTCGCCAGGTGATCAAGGATGCTCCTCGATGGTCCTCGCCCAAGGAAAAATGCACACGTCCGAGCGATGCCAAGGTACTCACCGATGGGATGCTTCCTGGAATGCGGGGGCGTGTGACTCAACCTCGACGCGAGCAGCGTGCCCACAGAAATGAAGGGGCCCCAGGACACACTAATAAATACACACAAATAAAAATACTCCCCACATTTTCCCATATGTTCTGGGGTTTTGTCTTCCCCCCCACTTCCCATATTTTCCTATATTTTCTGGGGAATCGACGATTACTTGTGTCTGTGTGTTTTGTTCCCCTCCTGATACACAGCACACAGGCGACGGGCCCTGGAGGAGCGGGCCCGGGAACGCCGCGGGGTCCAGGAGCCGTTTCCCTCGGTGCCTCGACTCCTGCATGGCCTCGCGACCAACCCAGCAGGGTCTTTAATTATGGGCAACATATTTTTTCCGCGGAGGCGAAAAAATCCCTCCTCCTCATCCCCTCCTCCTCCTTGTCCTCCTCCTCCTCATCCCCTCCTCCTCCTCATTATTATGGGTCCTCCTCCTCCTCATCCCCTCCTCCTCCTCGTCCTCGCCCTTAATCCTTAACTTGCGAATAACCCCCCGGGCAGTCATGGGCAAATGATATTTTTCCGCGGGTTTACTGAAACTTCGGGGGGGGGGGGGAGGCATCCTTAAAGACCCTTCGCGGTTATCCGCTCCCGCTCCAGCACATCAAGGCCAGCCGAACCTGCGCGTCAGGGGTGCGCGAGGGCGCAGCCGTCCTCGCGCACCCGCGGCAGCCCCTGGAGACCGGGGCGCTCTCCGACCCGGACCTCGGAGAGCGACGCGCGACCACTTTCGCGCCCAAGGCTGGCCGACGGGGGAGGCCGCTGCTGCACGCAGCGGGCCTTGCGCGAGATGACATGGCGACCTTACGCGGCGGCTTGCGCGGGCAGCTGAAGCGCCAATGTCGGCGCAGACGCCCCCGTTTTTTTCGGTGTCGCTCGGACGGCTCCTCGCCTCGCTCACCTGCCCCCTTCGGAGGGCGACGGCCCGCGGGGGCCGCGTGCCAAGGGGGAAGACTGAGATCTCGCTGCGCGGCACTGCCGCCTTCCGCCCCGTCGAGACCTCCTCCGTGTTGACGATCCGCCAGAAACTCGCCGGCCTCGCCGCCGCACCGCCGTCGGACGACACGTCGATCGCCGCGGCGCCGCAGAGCAGCAGCAGCGGCAGCGGCAACGGCAGCAGCGCCGGCGGCGCGCGCCGGGGCTGCGCCCGTGCGGCGCCGCGCGAGGCGCCGCCCCTGGGCCACCACGGGATCCCGGCCAGGCCCGGCGGCATGGAAAACGCGGGGCGACTGCGCCACACAAGTATATACACAGACGCCCCCCGATGAACTTTTAAGACGAAGCACGGAGGAGGATACACGTGTACTTTTGTGTGAGGGTGAATCGAGAATCTCTTATATCCGGCGGCTCTGGAGGACGCATCGGGCGCCGCGGCCTTCTCAGAGCGTGCTGAAACTCTCTGAGAGCGTTCAGGGACGCGCTGGAACAGGTTTACCATCGTCCCGTCCGAAAACACCCTCCGACGAACTTTGCATGTACCTTCAGGGAGGGCGGCGTCGGTGTAAAAAGCCGCTGACTCTCAATGGTAATGTATGCACCGCCGTTCTCCCCTGAGTTCCCGGAGAACTCCATTTGGTGGTATGTGTGTGTTTGTGTGGCGGAGCGACGGGGGAAGCCGCTGCCCCGCGGGCCTGCCGGGGAGGGCGCGGGCGCGGTGCGCGGGCGCGCGGGAGCCGCTCGGGCCAGAACTGCTCCGCCGGGCGCGCCAGGCGCCGTCCTACCTTGCCTGCTATCCTGGATCGGCCAGCGCCGTGCCGGGGAGTCGAACAGCCAGCTGAGGGACTTGAGAAGGGCCTGCCTGCGCCCACGGGAACGGGCTCGGCGTCTTTCACATTCAGGGCGGTTGCCATGGTGGCCGTGTCTTCGTGGCCGTGCCGCTGAATCCACGACTCGGCGAACTTCCCTCCAAGCCGTCGTCGAGTTTTTAGTCATGACGCAATGCCCTGCTTGGGGCGAGCCTCGAATGACCCGAAAGGATTTGGGAAAGCTCGATGTGCTCTGCACGCGGTGTCCTTCCACCACGACAGCGCTGGGGCAGGTGGTAGCGAGGGGTCGCCTAAATGGGGGGTGAAGCAATTGAGCCTAAGGGGGCCCTTGAGGGCCCCCTTGGGGCCCCTTTTTCCTCGCACCCCATACAAGTCACCCCTCATCCCAGACCCCCCGTGTGATGTTTCTTCATGACGTCGACCCCCAAAAGTCTCGACCACTTCCCCGGTACCATGTTTGCATCCCGAATTGTTTTTTGACATTCCCGGGGTTCAGCAAGAGCCCGGAGAGGCGGAACATATAGAAAAACCTCCGCCGAGACAACCAACCGCATGTATCCGACCCTGGCGGCAGAGTCAACGCCAGAATCGGCAAGCTGCGGTGGTTGTATGATTTCCTCTCTACGGCCCCATGACCATAATGCTTTATACTTCTCCTCGTAAGTCTCTGTAAAAGCACGAGTACTTCTTCGACTGTCCTTGCCGCTACCTTCGGTTCAAGTATTAATGCTATGATTATTTTTTGTTAGCAGGTCTTTCAAAGAAACAAGCAACACAACTACGATTGCCACCACCACTACTACTGCTACGACGACGACAACAACAGCTACTACGACTACTTCCACTATTATTGCGGCGGCGACTACTACTCATACTATTACTACTACTACTCCTACTACTACTAAAACTAAAACTTCTTACAACGTACTCCTACTACTACGGCTACTCTGCGACTGCGAATACGATGACTACTAGTAATACTACTACTACTATTACGATTACAACAACAATTACTACTACTACTACTACTACTGCTGCATCGGCTAGGACTACTACTACTACTACTACTATTACTACTACTACTGCTACGACGGCGACAACAACTACTACTAGGACTACTTTCACTATTACTGCGGCGGCTACTACTACTACTACTACTACTACTACTACTACTACTACTACTACGACTACTACTACTACTACTACGACTACGACTACGACTACGACTACGACTACGACTACGACTACTACTACTACTACTACTACTACTACTACAACTACTACTACTACTACTACTACTACTACTACTTTTTCTGTTACTGCTATTGCCAGTGCTGCTATTTCTCCTCCTACTACTTCTACTACTACTACAACTACTGTTGCTACCACTACTTCTGCGGTTGATTCTACGACTACTACCACAACTACCACTACTACTACGACTACCGCAATCATTGACACTACTACTACTACTACCACTACTACTACTACTACTACTACTACTACTACTACTACTACTACTACTACTACTACTACTACCACTACTACCACCAATACCACTGCGACTCCTACTGCTACTGCAACTACGACTGCTATCATTTGTTCTTCTACTGCTACAACTACTTCTGCTACTGCTACTGCTACTGCTACTGCTACTGCGACTACTCATATTTTTTGTACCCGCAAAAGAATTCAACATCATAACCACAGCACGCGATGCCCGTCCAGCGCCCAGCAAGCACCATACATATCCGCTGACCCTCATGGGGACTATAACCGCACCCATTGGATATAAGCTTGAACTCGCTAGCGAACGTGCCTTAAAGAGGCCGGCTGGGTTGACGTCGCCTCTACCCTGGAGGAGGGAAGCGGAGAAGGGGGGGAAGGAGGAGAGAGAGGAGTGGACAGCGTGGTGGCCAGACTCGGCTGCACGCATTGCGCACCACGTGCGAGGCAAAAACCAGCACAGAAGTGAAACAACGTAGGCAAACCCAAATCAAAGAGCACGCTCTAGCCAGCAGGCAGTAGGCGAGCCGCTGCATGCCCTAACAGCCTAACGCAACAAGAAACAGTGCAGTTCTATGCGCCCCTTGCGGCCCAGGTGGCCACGTTGATAAACCCACAACGGAGGGAGAGAGGACAGGACAAGTAAGCCGTAATACTACCATGCGCGCGCCATCTCAAGCAGGCAATCCGCCCCAGGTGCCCTACAATGAAATGCGGCGGCCGACTGGGCAGCTTTTGCACACCAGTTAGAAGCTAAGTAAGAGCCAGATGGGCCCTACCAGCAGACGCGGGAACGCGGGCCCAGAGCGGCACCCGAGAGAGGAGCGGCTCCGAGCGCCGGGCAGCCAGAGGTCTGCCAGAATGCCCTGGCCGTGCAAGCGGCGCGACGGCGCTAATTGGAAATCCCTGGACACGACGAGGAAGAGAGGAAGCGGGGGGGAGGGAGACGGGAGTGCAACCGCGTGGTTGCCTCCCGAGTGCAGCCGAAATGCGGCCGCAGCTAGGTGGCCGGACGCCCTTCTCGCACCACGGCCGGTCACTGAACCCTATGGACTGCGCGAGCGCACACCCGCTACGCGAACGACTGACTCAAAGCGAGGACCCAAAAACATCGCATGGCTGGTGAAATGCGCACACACAAAGAGTCTCCGCCGTCTCGCGACGGCCTGGGAGAGAAAAGTGGTTCAAATTTGTACCGACTGGTTTTCGAAAGTGTGACCCGGCACGCAAGGAAAGCTGCCATCCTCGAACGCCGTTGGCGCCACTTGCTCTTCAAACGGCGTTCCTCGGGCAGGATGCCGCTGGTTTCAATCAGAGGCCGCTGCCTCAGACACCACCCCCGCGGGGGGCCACAAACCCAACGGAGCCAGGGGCCGGAGGGGAAGGGGGACAAGCAAAGGCAGGAGGGAAAAAGAGGAAAAGGGAAAGGGGCAAGGGCAAAAGAGGAAAAGGGAAAGGGGCAAGGGCAGGAGAGGGGGGAGAGAGACAAAGAGGAAAAGGGGAGGAGGAGGGGAGGAACGACCCCTGGCCCCCCCGGGCGCGCGGCCCCCCAGGGGGCGGCTTGCGACTGGAGCCAAATGGCTGCCAGCCGCAGTGACGGAGCCCCTGTGGACCCCAAACGGGTCAATGATGACCGCGAGAAGCGACGGTCCAGAAGCTGGCTGCGACGGTCCCTGGTGCAAGCCACGGCGGCGAAAGACGAAAAAATGCAACCCTGGGCGATTGCAAAAACAAGGGTGACGCCTAACCGGCAGCGGCGACGGCAAGGAGGAGGGGAAGACGAGGGGAAGAGGAGGGGAAGAGGAGATATGGGCGCAGGTCACTCAACTCCGAGGCTCACTGCCAGCGCGTGTCCAGCACCGCTGCGGCCCGGCGATGCCCTTGCACTGCTTCCCGGGCGGCTTGCTCCAACGCTCGACGCACTGTGGGTTCGCCTCTCAGGGCCGCCCGTGCACGACGGAACTTGCAGTGCAGCCGGTAAGCTGCAGCGATCCGCAGGGCCCCGAGCGTCAGTCGAGCATCCGTGAGCTCGGACTGCGGCTCAAAAAGCAACCAGTCGCCGCGCGTCGCGGTCTCGCCGGTACGGCAGCCGCAGGTGCCCAGCCCCGAACTCGGCAAGCACGCGGCACACCGTGGCGTGTTCCACAGAATCCCCATCCTCGAGGCCGCAGAACAGGCATGCTCCGCGCCCGCCGAAGCGCCGCGTTGTGCACTGCGACTACTCATACTACAACTACTACTACTGCTACTGCTACTGTTACTGATATCGCTACTTCCACCACTACGACCACTACCACTACTACGATTATTACCACTGGCCTCACTACTGTTACTACTACTACTACTACTACTACTACTACTACTACTACTACCACTACTACAAGTACTACTACCAGTACTACGAATCCTACTACTACTACTACTACTACTACTACTACTACTACAGCTACTACTTTTACAACTTACTCCTCTACTACTACGGCTACTCTGCAACTGCGAATACGACGACAACTAGTACTATTACTACTACTATTACAACTATAACAACAACGCCCACTACTACTACTACTACTACTACTACTACTACTGCTGCATCAGCTGCTGTTCCTACTGCTACTACTACAACTTCTACGACGACGACGACACCGACGACTACTAATACTAGTACAACTACTACGGCTACTACCCCTACGCTCGCAGAACTACAACTACTACTACTGCGTCTGCTACGACTAGTACCACTACTACTACTACTGCTACTTCTAGTTCTACTACTACTACTACTACTACTACTACTACTACTACATTACTACATTACTACGACTACTACTACTACTACTACTACTACTACTACTACTACTACTACTACTATGATACTACTACTACTACTACTGCTACTACTACTACTACTACTACTACTACTGCTTGTGCTACTACTGCT